TAGCCCAGGTAAGCTGTTTACAGTTTACAGTTTGTTGTAGGACTGTTACTTTGTTCTAACAGTCTGCCACTTGGATTAACCTCTTGCTGATGTGGCTTCTCCCTTTTCTTGTAAACTTGATATGTAGGCTGGCTATTCCCGTGCATGGGTCTTGGTTTTCTGCAGCTCTTGGTCTTAACAATACCCCCCTGTTGCATCCTCTTCCGGCAGCTGTGACCAGACGACTAAAGCTTCTGGAACAATGTGGGAGCCTTTCTTGACCCATCTGAAATTAGTGATATGCACTGGCTCTGTTTCTAGGTCCATATCACTTGAGAATTTGGGAAGATATGGTTGAGTTATAGCATCTGGTTTCAAGCATTTTTTGAGAACCGAGACATGGAAAACTGGGTGCACTCTTGAATCTGGTGGGAGATCCAATCTGTATGCAAGAGGTCCAATTTTCTCCAAGATCTTGAAAGGTCCAAAGTAGCGAGGTGCCAGCTTGTTCCATCGCTGTTTTTGTACTGAAAGCAACTTGTAGGGGAGCAATTTTAAGTAAACCATGTCACCAACCTGATAGTGTACTTCTCTATGATGTTTATCATATGATTGTTTCATCCATTGTTGGGCCCAGAGCAGGTTCTGTTTAAGTTCCTATATAATGATGTCTTGATTCAGCAGGTATTCTTCAAGTGAAGCTACTTCTGTAGAACCCTTCTCATAGGGAATCAGTGTAGGTGGGTCACGACCATATAATGCCCTGAAAGGGGTCATTCCTGCTGATATCTGATAGGTAGTGTTGTACCACCATTCAGCCCAATGCAACCAGCTGAACCATTGTCTTGGCTTGGTTCCAGTGAAGCATCGTAAATATGTTTTTAAGTAACGATTGACCACCTCTGTTTGCCCATCTGACTGCGGATGGTAGCTTGTGGATTTGCTTAGCTGTGTACGCCTTGGAGGCGAAAAAGTTCTTTCCAAATGAGGCTGATGAAGATTGGATCTCTGTCAGAAACAATAGACTTTGGGAAACCGTGAAGATGAGCTATTTCCTGAACAAAAGTGTCGGCTACTGTAGTTGCAGTAAATGGATGTGGCAGTGCTAAGAAGTGGCTGTATTTTGTAAGGTGATCAACCACTACTAATATGACTGATTTACCGGAAGAGGTTGGTAGGCCAGTTATAATATCCATAGAAATATCTTCCCAAACTTGGCTAGGTATGGGTAATGGTTTTAGCAGGCCAGCTGGGGATTGGGCCTCATACTTGCATTGTTGACATACCTGGCATGTAGATATGTATTTCCTTATGGAATTTAGCATACCCATCCAATAAAATTGGGAAGACACTCTCTTATATGTGTGCAGGACTCCTGAGTGTCCACCCATCGATGTTGCATGGAAGTAATTCAGTAGCTGGTCCAAAAGGGCTGAGTCCGCTGGCAACATCATTCTACCTTTATAGTACAGCACTGACCCTTGGATAGAATACCCAGGTTTGACACCTGGTTGCTGCAACAACTGTGCTTTTATTGCTTGGAGTTCCTTATTATTGTCAGATTCCTCCCGTAATTGGTCCAATAGTGCTGTAGTGGGTTGTTGGAATACATGCAATTGGAGTGTGCTCTGCGCTAGTTGTTTGGGTTGGCGTGACAGCGCATCAGCAACTCTATTTGTTGCTCCAGGTTTGTATTCAATAGTGTAATCAAAGCCCATTAACTTTGAAACCCAACACTACTGGTGTGGAGAAAGGACCCGTTGTTCCAATAGGAATTTCAGACTTTGGTGATCAGTCTTAATCACAAACTTACGGCCTAACAGGTAGGAGCACCAATGCTGAACTGCCAATACAACTGCCATCAATTCCCAGTTGTAGACTGAAGAGTGATTATGTATGGTGGATAAGGCCTTACTGAAGAAGGCAAGGGGCTGACCATCTTGCATCAGCACTGCTCCCATGCCAGTCCCAACGCATCGCACTCGACCACAAAAGGTTTGTTGAAATCTGGCAAAGCTAGAGCGGTGGGGATGACACCGCTGCTCTTAAGGCTTCAAATGCTACTTGGGCTTTGTTATTCCAGATGAAAGAGTCTTTCTTTAGAAGGACTATCAGTGGTGCTGCAATTATCCCATAGCTTTTAACCCGGAATTCATAGTGGCCATCATGAGTCCGGAAGGCTGTTTTTGGGATGTCACTTTCATGGACTCTAATCTGATTGTAGCCGTAAATCCAACTTTGAGAAGATTCTTGCAGTCTAGAGTTCATCCAGGAGCTCATCTATTACCAGAATTGGAAAGCGGTCCTCAACTGTAATATTATTAAGTGCCCGATAATCCACACAAAATTGCCACATCCCATCTTTCTTCTTGACAAGAAGAACAGGTGAAGAAAATGGGCTGTGGATGGGTTGAATAAAAATTTTATCCAACAGTTCTTGAACCTGCTTTTCAATTTCTTGTTTTTGAAAATAGGGACAACGGTAGGGCTTTACATTGGTAGGAGACGCATCCGGCAATAGTGGAATTTTGTGGTCATGACTCCTTGTTGGGTTGGCTCCTTGAAAACTGCAGCATATTATTGGAGAATGTTGCTGAGCTGTTGTTTGTAATCAACTTGAGTCGATGTATCCTGGGCCTGGGATAATGTTGGGCCTATATTTGATCCCCAGATAATAAGCTGATTTGGGTCGCGTGCTTCTTTCAACATGGATGCCAAGCTTACTGGGCTGGCTCGGCTAGCTGAGTGGCCTTGTAAATGCACTCTTGTTCCTTCTGTCATGAAATCCATAGACAAATGGGCCCAATCGCATAGAACAAGCCCAAGTTTCTGCAACCATTGAATTCCCAATACAATATCGGCCCCACTTAACTCTAGTGGGTAAAGATCAACCACAAATTGTTGCTCTTGGATGCGTAACCCAATGTCTGTGCAAATTCCATCGCATTGGAGTGAGGTCCCATTTGCCACATGGACCTTAAATGAGGCTGTAGGATGAACTGGTAATCCCAATCGTTTGACTAGCACAGTGGTTACAAAGTTTAGAGTGCTACCACTGTCAATGAGGATCGACACTTGGTGACCCCGAACATGACCCGTCACCCTCATGGTTTGGGGTGATGAAAACCCCGCTAGGGCCTGTAATGAGATTTTTGGTTGTATGGTCTCAGCCCAGTGTTCGTCAGTCAACGATCTTTCTTCTGGTTTCCGATCCTCTTCTTCATCCTCAATCTGTAATAAGAAGGCTTGTTGAGACTTTCATCTATGGCCGGGGCCGAACTTCTCTTCGCAATTGTAGCAGAGACCTTTGTCTCGGCAATTTTGCACATCTGCCCACGTTAATTTCCTGAATGGAATAGCAGGGCTTGGGCCTGAGTTACCTAGTGGTTTTCTTAAGATGCTGCCTTTTTTATTGGGTCCTGTCCCTTCCGGTCAGGCTCGAGCCATCTTTTCTTCTTGGGTGCGGGCTAGGGCTGCCGCAGCCATCACAGTTGATGGATGCATCGCCTTGACCTCTAACCGTATTTCTTCCTTGAGTCCTCCTACAAAAGCTTCAACCAGTCCCTTGGACTCTTTACGATGGACGTTCAAACTCCAACTGGTAGTCACAAACACTTCCTACTTGCTTTATCTTCACAAGACTCTCATCAAAATCTTCATAACCGAAAGCCCCGAATCGGACACATAGGGCATCAGTGAAGTTGAGCCATGAAATACGGGGGTGCCCTTGACGATACCACTGATACCAGAGGATTGTGTCTCCAACCAGATGCATTGCTGCCAATGCCACCCTATCTAGTCCGGATGTTTCGTTGTACTCAAAGAATCTTTCCACCCTGTATATCCAAGGGATGGGGTCTCCTCCTGAGAAGACCAGGAATCTCAGTTTGGTGTTTCTTTCCAAGGTGGAGCTGCTTCTTCGGTTACTCCCTTGGCTAACCCTATCCTGGTTGATTTCTCTGTCTTCAACTGGCAAGCTCTATTCTAGTCTTTGCAAGATCTCTGTTAGTGTATCCTTGATACTTCGTACCTTGCTTGAGACTTGGTGAAGCTCGACCTCCACCTGATCAACCCGTGCCTCCATGGCTGTAGCTCGAGTATTTGTCATAGCTCTGATACCAAACTGTTAGGTGCTGCCTAACTCAGGGTTCGTTGAGTGAACCAAACTCCTAAGGAGAGGGGAAAACTGAAGGGGAAGAGAGAGAGAGAGAGAGAGAGAGAGATGTTCGAATGGAATTCTTCCCTTCATCCTTTCTTACTCTGGTCTTTATAGCCCAGGTAAGCTGTTTACAGTTTACAGTTTGTTACAAGACTGTTACAGTTTGTTGTAGGACTATTACTTTGTTCTAACAGTCTGCCACTTGGATTAACCTCTTGCTGACGTGGCTTCTCCCTTTTCTTGTAAACTTGATATGTAGGCTGGCTGTTCCCATGGATGGGTCTTGGTTTACCGCATCTCTTGGTCTTAACAGAAACAAACATTTTCATGTGAATATAAATGTTTTAAAGTTCACATCCTTTAGGACACCAAACAAATTTTAATATTATTAGTGCAGGAAATCCAGACATATTGTCTTTCTTATGTGAAATACAAGCATGTTAAAAATTCATATCCTTTAGGAGACGGGAAAACTTTCAATAATATTAAGTGTAGGAAACCCAGATGTATTGTCTTTTTTATGTGCTTTCCATTACTTCTAGGCTTTAGCTAAAGTGATACTTTAAACCCATTAAGAGGAACAAAGCAAGTACGAGTAATGTCTGGTCTAGCTGACAAAAAATAAAAGTTAAACCTTCCCTGATAATTAAATACAGCTTATTCTAAACTATGATATAACAAAGTAACACACTTTCTGTTCAATAATGTAAAGTTAACAAATAATTTCTGATTTGAAAACAGTAAGTTCATCAACCAAGAATAAGCAAGTTAAGGATTTCACTTTGTATGAATTCAAGTCATTTTAGACATCTTCCACAGCAATTCTCAGTTCCAAAGTCAATTTCAAGTCCAAATGTGGTACCTCCAAATCAGTATCCATGACCTTCCCACGAATAATCCGTGTTGGACGAGAATAAGCTTCAATGACCTTTGGCAGATTCTCACCCTTTGATAGGACATCCATCTGCAACCAAGAATAACATTCACTTGTTGCATACCACCCACAAAAACCAAGTAAAGGATGCTTGGCATGCTTTTTTCATGCAAGGTTCCTATATATCAAATATCATCTGATATACTTCGAGGATTCCGGAACATACTATCTGAAACATTAGATATTTTACAAGAATTGACTTTCATGATGAATCCTAGGAAACATTTTGAGTATAAGAAAAAACTAATTCTATGATTTGCTGAATAAAACGTGTAACTTATTCTAAGAAATATACTCAATGATTTTGCTCACTTACTATGTCCAATAGAAACAATGAATAAATCTTTGCACGGCTTTCCAAATAAACAATCAATACTGATACGGATCAATCAGCACCCTTGAAGATTTATGCAATAAGGAAGAAGACCTTACAACAGGTATCGATATGGCAAGATGACGGTGCATGGGATTTGGGCAGATGGCAGAATTTGACACCAAGGTAATTTTTCTGTGGGATCCAAATATAGAATCTAAGTTATCTAGTTATGGTTTATGTTTTAAGTTTCAGAGTCACTGAATAAATAGTACAGGAGTTGAGTCTTTTTTTAATTAAAATAGGATAATGGAAATTTTATAATTTTATTTTATTTTTACTTCCACTATACTTCTTATGGGTCTACATTCTATAAATATGAGCAGATGCTTTACATAATGATGGATGAAGTTTATTTGGGATCTTATAAAATATGCTGTGTAGTGAATAATTCACATGCCCTATGGCAATTCTAGCCTTCTAGGCACCTTGTTGAGTGACTCCGAGCTCTCTCTCTCTCTCTCTCTCTACATATATATTACAACAATCAACAACCTTTAAGTTCTTCATCATAATACAGTCATTCAATGTTCTCAAAACAGTGGCACTGATCTAGGCAAGTTTTTTCTTTAATTTTCATCAGAACCTTAAAATTTTCCATTCTTTAATTTTCATCAACTCCAATATTTTAGTTCCCTCTTATATCCTTACATCCTTTCATCCCTCAAAATATCATCCCAAAATACCTCCTAGAACCCTTATTCCCTAGTTTTTGAATTTTCTCCAAGTCCTAGAATTTTCATCCTTTTTTGTGCCAAACATACTCCAAATCTCACCAAACTTGGTTGCCCTCTAGAGTCATCCATTCTAACCCTACCTACAAAACTTTATTAAAAATTCATATTCTAGACCTACTTTTCCAATTTTGAAGTTTTCACCATCTCATCCCTAGATCATAGTTTTCAAGGTGCCAAGGTGAAGCTAGGTGACAGGGGAGCACCTTGTCGCCTAGTTGCCTAGGCGATGAGTTTTTTAAAATAAAAAAATATAAATCCTAGGGTAGATCCCTAGGTTCCATAGTAATATGTAGTGATTTTCAAGTAATAATCACCACAATACTCATGAAATAAGCATAAACCCCATATCAATAGATAGAAAGTAAACATATTTTTGAGTAAAAAAATAAGGAAATAAAGATACAAAACATAAGGGTTGAGCCATTGTTTTGGTCCTAGGAAGAAGTCCTATTGATTGTTCTTGTGTGTCAATTGGATAAAATCTTCAAGTTATTTTTTACTTATCAATTCAGGTTTTAAAGTCCTAAAGGGTTCAAGAATATGTCACTGCCTTGTGTCTTGATTGAACCCAAACAAATAACAAAATAACAAAAAGAAACTAATATAAGAATAAGAATATTAATACTATATACCCACAATATGAATAATTTAGTCTAATAATATCTATTGTAATACTATTAATAACATAACATAAAAATATAAAATATTGTGTAGTGTCTTACATATAAATATGTAGGCATTTGGGCAAGGCRACTCTCCAAGAACACCTTATCGCCTAGGCATCACCTTGACAACTATGCCCTAGACCTTTTTCAAATCTTACTAATCTCCACTTTTACTCCTGAATCATCCCTAACATGTCAAGCAAATCCTTTATCAATCATATTCTTGCAGTTGGTGCTATCAAATATAACTTAAACAAAAAACAAAAGGAAAAAGAAAATTGAAGACCTGCCTACCCAAAGGCTTTGCTTCATTGCTCAAAGCTCTTGCTGCCTTTTGAATGCATTTTAATTTTACCAACTTTAGAATACCTGCCTACCCAAAGAGGGTTTGGAAGAACTGTCCAGAATTTAATATGTTGTTATTCATGGGGCTTTGTCAAAAAACTGAGAGTCCCATTCATAGAAGGGCATATCATGTATGCTACCATATATGTTGCTCCACTGAGAGGCTCTCCCCCACCGACTTCTCAGCCAAGGGCCTTTTAGTCATAGGGGTACATACTTTATTTCTAGATGCTCGGTGTCAAATCCCTTCACATACTTTGCATCGTCTTTGTCAATCACCAAATCTGCAGATCCTCCCAACTATTATGGTTTTGTTGAGGATGTCGGCAGTTCAAATGCCAGAGGAGGACTGGACAAAGGCGACATAGGAATCAAAGTACAACGCCTAGCAGTGGCTGCAACAGTACCTTCCTTTTCTCAGTATTCAGGTAGGCAATGGTTTCTAAATCTCTCAAACCAGCCTCATCTTTCTCACTGTTTCCTGTCGTTGTTAATAGCTCTGACTTGCCGAAGTTTGCTTCCTCCCTATCTTCAATCATTTTATTTCTCTGCCTTTCTCCTCCACTAACACCGTTAGGCTCCTTGCGTGTCATTGCCGAACAAGAGTATTGACTCAAAACTGGAACCTCCAAGCCATGGTTAAGGTCAAACTCTTGTGGATTCACCTCCTTAGAAAACGCTGATATACCTTTCACCTGTTCTTCGTTTGCAATGTCCTTCCTTTTCTTTCCTTGCAGATCGCCGCCATCTTCAATCATGATAAACTTCTTCCCTGCTTCGTATTTCGGCCATTAACCATAGTACCATACCTAATCATCTGATGACTTCTCAGAAGCCAACTTTTCTTTTCTGTTTCTTAGAATTGAGCCAAAGATAAACTTTCCAAATATGCCCCTCATAACCGTTTCAACTTCTGAAAACCTTACCGAGGTTTTTCAAACAGCGGGCCCCACCACTAGATTCTCTTGACTGACCACCCCCTAACTCCTTGTAATCCTCCTCCACTTGGACCACATCCGCCTTCCACCTAGATTAAAATTGGCCATGACCTTTGTTGCCACCTCAATCTTTTCTTCTACCTCTTCTTCCTCAGCTCGCCTTTTTGACTCCCCCTCCTCCCTTCTCGCCGCCTAAGAAATCTGTTCCAGAACCCACCCCTCCTCCCTCTTCCTCCCTCCCCTTCTCTAACTTCTTCTGATTTTCCGTTGACAACTCCTTCCTTTTCCCAAAAAAACATCCAGTCCTCTCCTTCTATTATCAACTATAGCAGATATCTTTCTCCTGCAAATTTTAGAGACATGCTGTGAGGTATAACGAATGTATCCTCAACCTCAATTAGAATTCCTGCCATGTCCAGCTTCTTCCAGGAATGATTTCCATCTTCGAATTTCAAGAATCTACCACATCTGTTTCCCAATGCCCCTTATACTCAATGCCAAGTCTGGCTTGTGCTCAGTTTAGAGCTGTGTTTTAAAAATTGACCTTGAAAAAGAACTATTTTTCAATTTGGGTGGTTGGTAAGCAGTTCAACTGTCCAGGTGAAATATGGCAACCCATAACATCATAAATAATAAAAAATAACAATAACAGAAAATTTGCAGCAAAAATTGGCCGTCTCTAATATTATATATTCATCATATTAAAAAGAATCAAGTGTCATAAAATCTAGTGCTGAACAAATGCAAACCTGAATTTCTGCCATTTCCCTAGAAAAAATCTCAAAAATAGCAAAGTTTATCTGATGTGTATACACCAAAAAAATTCATAAATCAAGTGCTATCACCTGATAATTTTCCTGGTATGCAAGGTGGTTGCTTGGTAATGACAGCTAATGTCATCAGCACATATTGATAACAGGAGCAAGACACTGATGATGATGAATATAGCCTCGGTTTGTGTGAATGTTACTCTAACATCAAGTTGTTTTTCTGTAATGATTTGGGTGTGAACAGATTGTGTTTAAGCAAGATGTATGGAGAGTTCAAGAGAAGAAAATAAGAGGATAGCAAATGGAAGAATAGGTTTAAGCTGAGTGAGCTACATGACTCCAACTAGATGATTTTACTACGTAGGAGAAGGGCATAAATACTCTTCTACTAAAGGACTAATAGGATATCTTCCTTATTACATGAGAAGTCAGATGAAGACATATTTCAGCAAGCTTCCCAGAAGAAAATAAAGAGAAAGTTAAAAAGAGAAGACTGTTCAAAGAAACAGTCCAACTTTCCCGATCTAGCCATTGGGTTGACTTGAAATTTGGCATGTTAGAGTTATTAGAAGCTAGAAGTAACACAAAATTTCTGGAAGATTGGACCTTGGGAAGGCYCCTTCATCAAGCCACAGTAAGTTGCTGGGTTCCATGGACTACCTATGGTCCATTGTCAAAGTCAAATGTTTAACTTAAGAACCCCACTATTTGACTCACCCAAGGGTCTAGTAATTTCTGTTAAAGTTCTATAAATTTTGGTCTTTATGCCTTGGTGAGTTATAGTTGAGTCTCTGGTTTAAGGGGAGAGAGGTTAGTTGTCTTTTTTCCTGGTTTCTTTTAGCAGTGCACGACAATTCAGGGTAATTTACATTGCTAATATGGATGTTTTGAAAGGTTTAGCGCTACAAAAGCTCCTAAACACTGCTCATACACACTTTTCATCCAACTCTACTGTTCTTAAAAATATAAGAATTCCTTTTTCCATTCTCTATAGTTGTCTACAATTGAGAACATATATTATGTGCTCTTATTTCCTCTTCTATTGAGTGCTCTGGTTATTTCTTCTATTTTCTATTATACACATGTTTTTGAGAAATCTAGGTTGCACAAAAATTCCAATAATACATACCCTACAACTCAACAAAAGGATGCTGTATTGCTGTCCTTCTAGATGCCTCCTGGGAGTGGCTATCAAGTAATGGATTAAATGAATGGCTGATTTCTTCCTTCTGTTGTCAATCAACACTAAAAAAGGTTCCTACTTCTACTATCTAAAGAGTGCATATTATACTTAAGACATCTCAAAAGATTTAAATCTGAATTGGTAAGAAATCAGCTACTGAGATGCATATAAAGGAGTTATATGCCGTGAGAACCTAAGGTTGGCTGAAGTTGAAGTTATGTCAAGTTGTTACGATGTGCCACAACTTCTAAACTATGATACCCAGATACCTTCACAAGGCCGTTGTCTCGTGTCAGATACTTCAATCTTTAGTGTAAATTCCATATCCGACATCATGTCAAGTCATGTGGGATTGTGGCCCATGTCATTGCTGTATCTGGGTAACATAGCTTTTAAACTGATCAATGCATATTTGAAGTTTCCAAGTTTTTTGTTGTGTTATTGCACAAAATATAGAAATAAATGTTATGAAGCACTTACTTTAACAGCTGATTTTGTAGCCAAACATGGCCAATTTGCACGCTCTGAAAGGATAGAATGAACCACTTCAGGACTTGTACCTTTATCCACCTGTCGCAAAAACATAATATGTATACATTTAGAGTCTGTTAAATGGGGAATCATCCCATAATGAAAATTCAATAGGTTAATTCAAACAAGTCCTCAGTGTGAGAAGTCTAAATACCAGAAATTGCTCCAGTCTCCTAGTAACGAATTGATGTACCTAAATAGATGCAATGATCACAAATTACTCTGATAAATAAAAGAGCTTAAAAAAGTCAATTTGCCAAAGATAATAATTAAAAACATTCAATTTCAAAATGTCATTGGAAGAGGATTAATGTAAGAGAGGTCAAAAGAATTTTACTCTATCCAATTCACCAAGATGATCATGAGTACCAGATCTAAAACTCTCTTGGACACAGTCCACAAGAAGGCTTATAGATCAGACACTTATAATAATCAGATAAGGCAAACTGGATGATGAATGGTATCTTCTGGACTGACAGTTGGATCTAGTTTGTAATCACATCAGTGGACCATCATGCTATATCAGTTACTACTCTAGATTTCCATATGCAGAGGAAAAGGAAATTAGAGAAACTACTTACATCATCTATAGTATTGGCATCCATCTTTATGGGTTGAACATCTGCAGCAACTACCAAAGCATTTCTTAAATCCAGGTTCTTGTCATTTTCCACCAACACTTGGACCTAATAGCAAAAAAGAAGCTGCATCATATTGATGTAATCAGAAGAATCCCCGGGGCATCAATGAGATTGTATAACTTACAAGACCATAAGAGATTCTTCGCAAGCCAAATGGATCATTAGAAGAACTTGGCTGACACCCAACTCCAAATAAGCCAACAAGACTATCCAATCTGCATAATGGATTGCAAGGTATGGAATCACTAAGCAAAAGTTAAGATATCTCAAAACTAATTTAAAGGACATGAAATTTTTCCGAAGTTTTGGTATTATAGTTAAATTTATATAATATACATATTTATTAGGTCAGGCCTGGACTAAAATACCTAGGCCCAAGCCTGAAAATTTGTGGGCTGGACCAGGCCAGGCTGGGCTAAAAATGATCACCCCTCATTGGCAGTATTGAAGTGCACATCTCAACACTCTTGAGTAAGAGATCGAAAGATGAAAAAACAAAACCRGCACACCAAGCGAGGTCTTTGTCCCAACAAAGGTAAAGCAAATTTCTATAAACTATAACAACATCAATTGAATCCAAAAACAAGCCCAAAATGCATGAACATGGACTGCTGGTAAATATGACGAGAAGAAAAATCTTAGAATATTCAGTATGCATCCAAATAGTGAGATCAATTTTGGCATCTCATGAAATATATTGCATGCCAGACAAAAGAAAAGATCACCAAAAAAGTTACAAAACCAAACAATCTGACATGTAATCCCAAAACTGAATTTTAATGATCTTTAGTACATATTATCATAAAAAATCCCTAAATTCTTTTATTAGAACCTAGGATTCTCTGCTTCAACCATCCATCCCATCCACACAGCTACTAACTTGACCTACATAGACAACTATATAAACAATGACACTAGAAGTTCTTTAAATTGACCAACATGAGTTGGCAAGCTCTTTAATGCATTTAGTTTATGTTCTTGATACCGAGTCAATTTGTATGAAGGAAAGAGATAAAGAGATAAAGAGAAAAGGGAAGGAAAAGAACAAGAAGAAGAAAGAGTAAAGAAATTAAGAAAGATCAAAGATGAATAGTTGATGCAATGACCAGTTGGAGCCTAAGCACTGACTAGTCCACGAAGAAAAATTATGTTCAAAATTTAAGATATTGATGCAATCTCATAAGTTAATATAGATCACAACCATGCCATAGAAGAATGATACTGATTACTGAGTTTATAGTCTTTTATTTTACAAAAAGTACAAGTTTGGCCAGATAGACTAAGAAAGGAGATTACAATCTTTGATTTCTAAAGAAACAATGCAACTTTGACTATTCAATGTATCCTTTGTTTATGGCAACTTTACACCAACATACCACTGATTATAAGAACTCCTCCACTAGCTTCTCTTATTTTATGCCTTTTTCAATTCTATATGCAACCAGCCAATCATGTTCTATCACTTCTTCTTTTTTTGAGCCTGGTTTCCTTCTTGTAAGAAGATCATAGTTTTTTTGTTGGGTTGTTTTTCAGAGGCTGGCTTTTCTGAGATTTTCTGTCTATTTCTGCTGTACAGTCTCATTGTACAGGGGCCTTTTGTATTCTCCCCTTTTGTTATTAATGAAATACATTACCTTACAGTTCTCAAAAAAATTATATTTCTATATTATGGCTTTAAATAGAATGGATTGGTGAAACAGGATTCATGTAGCCAACCCCATACTACACCCAACTCTAATTTATTATATATAGGTAGGATTACAAGATACATATAATTAATAAAGTAGCCTATTAATTCATGCCTTAACTTTTCTAAACTCAGTATAGTCCTCCCACTTCTGCAGAATGAAGTAGGGTGAGCTAAAAAGTGAGTGACAATAGCAGATCCCTTATTTTAATGAATCTTTCAATAGTTGCTAAAAAAGTTAAACATATGGTATAAAACAAAGAAAAAGCTTTTGAAAATAGAAGGAAGATATTGAAAATGTTGTCCTTGTAATCATGGTTCACAATTTCGATATCAGTGAACATTTGCTATGTAGAGATGGGGAAATTTAGGAGATATTTTGCTGATGTCACTAAGATATTGGGATAATCTAAAGAGCAAAGTTTTATAGAGAATTAGAGACATGGAATTAGTTAACAAACCTTGAAGGAATAAAATACAATTGTTAGCAGTCGACTAATCAGAGGAGTTTTTAGTCTTTTCTTCATTTTTTGTTACATTTTAATATTATGGATATGGAAATGGACAGGCTAGTCCTAGCTATGTGCTCCAAACTTAATCAGGGGCCATAAGTGTCTTTGTACTTGACTCTAGAAAGTTATAAATATTAATCGATTGGGGAGATGGGCCATTCATTCTATGCAGCATTCCAGTCTCTCTCTCTTTCTTTCTTCCTCTTTTCTCCCTTCTCTCTTTCTCTTTCTCTTTCCCTTTCTTTCTGGCGATTCCTCTAGGGTTTGTTTGGAAGTTCAGAGGTTATATCAATAATTACATTTTTTGAGGATCAAAAAACCATACCAAAGAACTATATAAATTGAATATGAGAAAATTAAGAGACTTTAGTAGGTATTTTCTCTATCTCCCTTTTAGTCTTTTACACTCTTCTCGCCATTGAATATGTCATGTAATTGTCATTTTGACTTGTCTTTTTTTTATTATATGTTCTGATTAGATTGAGAATCCTCTTTTATAGTTGCATGCACTTTAATAGTGACTGAGTGAATCATATCAAAATAGTAAGCCAATTATCCAATCACCAATTCCCTGATGGTTTTTTTAGAAAAAAAGATTTTTAAAAATTTATGATGATATTAATGAAATGATGGAAAGTTATTAATCGTCATCATCCATGCCTTGTCCTAACTATATGGGATAATAACTCCACCTTTTTTTTTATCAGCAAAAAAGACTTTTATTAATAACAGAGAAATATTGAATTACAATAGTTATAGGTTGCAGTAATGCATTAACCCAATCTACAAACACATAGAAACAGTTACAGTTCTGCCCAGTACAAGGTAGGTCTATTTGCCCCATGTTTTGCTAGGGTATCCACCAACCCATTTGCAGTCCTTTTGACCCAACCAAACTGAGAGTTGAACCTCCTTGCAAGTATGTCAATTTCTCTGTAGATAAATTTGAGCTTCCAAGGTGCTGATGTGATGTTTTTAGCCCAAGAAATGACCAGTAGTGAGTCTCCTATATATAAATCTGTTGTTCCAATATACTCAGCCATCTTTAAACCTTGAAGTAGAGCCAGAGATTCAGCCTGTATTGAGTCACCAATACCTATTGGTCCTGAGAAGAGTGCGGCAACTTCACCTAGATGATTTCTAATCACCCCCCCTATACCTGCCCTTCCCGGGTTACCAAAGGAACTCCTATCAAAGTTTAGTTTTAGTTTGTTCAGTGCAGGTGGCTTCCATTCCGCTCTCACAACTTCTTTGGGTACATCTGTTTGTGCTACTTCAGTCCAGTTTCTTCGAATCTCATTCGTGGAGAAGTTTTTGAATAGTTCCATGGTCATCACCCAATGTGCAGTTCTGATTTTTATGGCTTCAGTGACTTCCTCCTTTGATTTACTTTTTTCAGAGAAGAGTCTTTGGTTTCTTTCCTCCCATATAGTCAGTCCATACCACAGTAGCTCTTGCTGCCTTCCAATAAGCACTTTCCTCTTTTCTTCCGTTGCCTCAGGAAGGAGGGGCTGAATAGACTTACCACATCCTGTGGGGGAGCCCATCTGCATCCAAAGAGAGAACAAACAATTTCCCAATACAAGAAACAAAAGAGYAGGATAAGAGTAAGTGGGGTAGGGTTTCACCACAATCCTTACAAAGGACACACATGAGGGGAGAGGCATTTGTTTAGCCTTCTTTTTTGTAGCACATCACAAGTGTTTACCTTCCCTAGGAACACTTCCCAATAGAAGGCTTGTACTTCAGCAGGGATCAGTTTACACCAGATTTCTCTCACTGGGAAGTTCACCCCCAAAGAATCAGAGTGAGTGAGCAAACCGAAGAAAGAGGCACAAGAGAATAAACCATCAGGAGTTGGGGACCAAACTCTACTATCAACTGTAGTTTGGTCTAAATAGACCTTCTCAAGGGTTGAGAACAAAAGCAAAAGGGACTCACATTTATTTTCCCTCAGCCCCCTTTTGAAGCCAAAGTCCCAAGAGATACCCAAGTCTGAAAGCATGCCAACCCTAGCAACAAGTTTGTTTTTAAGGTTTGATAAAGAGTAGAGGTCCAGAAATTTACCCTTAAAAGGCAAATCCCCAATCCAAAGGTCTTCCCAGAATAAAACTTTATTGCCATACCCAACATCAAAATGGATAAATTGAAGAAAGGTTGGTAGTATTGGAGGCTAGTTTGGAGCTGTATTGGAGGCTAGTTTTGCATCCTAGCCATTTTCTGCACAGCCATTTCCCTAGGAGGGCCATATTTTTCTTTAAGATGTTCCCAATACCTAGGCCACCTTGCTCCTTAAGTTTATAGACTTGCTCCCACTTCACTAAATGATCCCTCTTTTCATCACCAGGTTCCCACAAAAAATCCCTCATTATCTTCTCCAACTTCCTTGCTATTTTCACCAGGATCTTAAAGGTGGAGAGGAAATAAGTGGGCAGATTTGCTATGGTGGATTTTATCAAGGTGATTCTTCCCCCCCAAGGAAATATAACTTCCCTTCCACATTGCCAACTTCTTTTTGAATCTCTCTAAAACTGGCTTCCAAAAGCTTTTAGCTTTCGGGTTTCCCCCCAAGGGCATACCCTAGGTATTCTAGAAGGCCAGCTTTTCACTTCACAGCCTAGCAAATTTGCCATGGCTTGGATGTCCCCCTCTCCTAGGTTTATTCTAGCTACACAACTTTTTCCCCAATTCACTTTTAGTTTGGAGGCCTGTTGAAACTTATCCACCAAATTTTTCAGATTCCTCAAATTGGATTCATCAAAACTCTCACAAAAAATAATTGTATCATAAAAAAATTGCAAATGAGACACCACCACTTCTGAACTACCAATCCTCCAACCTTTGAACAGATTTTCTTGGTCAGCCTTGATGATTTGTCTACTCAAAACCTCAACAACAAAGGTAAATAAGAATGGGGATAAGGGATCACCCTGTCTTAGTCCTCTTTTAGCCGGGAAGAAGTCCTTTGCTACCCCATTTAAAAGGATAGAAAAATGTACCGAGCTAATACATCCTT